TGGACAATGATTATAACAAAGTAAGACTACATCCACTCTATATCTACAGAAGAGATAAAATAAAGAGAAGCAAAAAATGTATTTAATAATAATAATAAAATATTAAATTAATATCTGCTCTTATCCCTCACGCTCACCAAAGTCTTATTCCACATTCTTCTTTCCGACAGCACACTCACTGAATGTTGGTATTTTTTACAAGTGTGAGATGTAAAATAAAATTATAAAAAAAAAAATAATAATAATTAAAAATATATTATTTGTATCGAATCTGAGCATGAACCAGATTTAGAAGGGTGTTATTAAAAGGAAAATTCTTATTATTGCCTAATAGATTCCACCGGTGGGTAAACAAAGCGCGGTGAGGAGTGGCGATTTTATTAAGACTAAAAAAGACTCCTCTTTCGCCCCCCCCCCACTATAATGATGGCTCACTGAAGCTAAGGCTCACCCCAGTCCATTAGCTGAGTCGATTGGCCCATTAGTCCTGGGCCTGCCCATTCTTCCCCCTCTCTAGTCCATTTTTTATTCCTTTTTTTCCTCATTTTACATTTAAGGAAAATATCTTGTTGGTATATCTTAAATGGAGAGGGCAAAAATATATATTCTTTTGAAGAAAAATATTTATAAAATAAATTCAAACTTTAATTTATTAATACTAGCACAGCCCAGAGACAACCCTAACATTATATATCCATGCTCTTCATCCGTCATTGTAATGCATTCGACCAGAGGTGCCAAGAAGGAGGTTTCATAGTGCAAGTTGTGCCATCCAAATTTTTCAGGGGCGCACATTTCAGTGGGGTTAGGAATTTTTTGGAAATACTATACTAAACGACCAGGGGAAAATATATAACATAACGCAACAAGTGTAATTGTATGTGATCTACGGTTTTTTTTAATTACATCTTTGTTTGCTCTGTTTTTAAAAAAAGTTCAGCTATAAAATATCTAGGAGTGAGGGAAATAGGATCTTGTGCCATTGACCTTGGGGGGAATGGGCACCTCTGCATTCAACATCAACAAAATGATGTTATTTCATACATGTAATATAATATTATCAAGAAATCCAATTCAACACAAAAAAAAAATTATTTAATAAATTATTACCTTGAAAAATAACACTCCAGTTTGGTAGTTAAACAATAAGACACAGCTGTCCCTGAACTTACAGTAATCCTTTTAATATTATACTCGCTCAAGGTCTATTTGTTTACAGCATTAGAGACTTGGTTTGCAGTTTTCTCTCAAAGGGACAGTCGATTAAGCGTTATCTAAGATTAAACCAAGTTTTCTAAGGTCGACCGATCAAGATTAAACTTGGTTTAATCTTAGATAACGCTTAATCTAAGCTTAAGTGAGTTGGAGCAACTGGCTCTAAGAGTATAGAAGCCTATAACTAAAAGAATAAAAGCCATACTTGGATATATATTTTTTTAATTTTTAAACTCATCAAAACTAGTATGAATCTAAGCTACAGCTTTTTAGAGACAGGAGCTAATCCATGAAGAAGAATAAAGTTTCTAGATAAAAATCAAGGAATATAATGAAAACTATTACTTTTAACAAAATGAGGTAGAAACGAAGCTAAAGAAATTGTAAATAAAGAAGGAATAAAAATTTGTAAAATTTCATTTAAACAATTACTAGCATAGACATTTAATACTTTAATACAAGTTTTCGTGTTATAACTATTGTTGTTGTTCATTTTTGTGTTTTTTTAAACTATCTGACGGACTAGCGGACGGCGGACGAACAAAAAAAATTTATTCGTTTTTTGAATTCTACGCGTCCTGAAATGCGCAACCTCAAATTTTGAGAGGGGATTAAGTTTTTGAATTTTTTGGTCGATCACAATGGTTGATTATTGAAAATAATAAACCAAAATTTATAAACATATTATTGAATCACTTTTTTTTTTAATTATTACTTAAGAATTAATATTAATATAATTTTTATAAAACGTTGTTCAAAAATAATGATCAAGATGTAATTTTGATCGCTTGTAGTCAAAAATAAAAATTTATCTTAATAAAAATCATCAATTTGCTCACCGTGTCGAAATCTTTAACACGAGCTATCCCGTCTCGATTCCTTGACTTAGAAACCTTGTAACTATCGTAATAATTTTTTTAAAAAGTTGTTCAAGGAATTAAAGGATCGAAGTTGTGATTCATCACTTCTCCATAAAATCCCTTTTGGGTTACAACCTCATTAAACAAAACCCATCGGTCATGAGAGCAGGAAAATGGGACCATATGCCATATTAAATATAATGAAGATTATTTTTTTAATATAAGACATAGTTCACATCAGATATCAATTCACTCAAGCCTATACATATACACTTTATGCCAGGTTAGTCGTTTACAGGTATTTAGGATCCATTAGGTTTGAAAATCTACTAATCATACGAGATTTTTTTTAGTATTAATTAGAATTACAAAAATGCATCAAAATTATGACCTCGATGGGAACACAATATTTCCTGAAAATGCTTAAAATTTCCTTCAATTTTGCGTAAGAAGCCACCTCGTTTAAGCCTTCGTAACATTAAAAGATCATCCCAATTTCCTTGGAGGCCCAGTTATCAGGAAGACCAGGCAAACTTATTACGCTAAACAATTTTTGAAGCCTTCAGCCTAAAAGAGACAAATATTAGTTTGAGGAAATAGGAGCTTATTCGACAAAATTTAATTTAGGTATTTTAATATTCCAAAAAAAGTATTTTTGTTATTATCTATTTAATGTATCCAAGATATTTTGCTTAATTGTTTTTGTAAAATCGTTTCATTAATTTATAGATATTGTTTTCTTATTTGATAAGTCCTATATTTAATGTTAAAGATGATATAAATTAATCTGAGTACTAGACTCTAAATATTTATGAATACAGGCATTTCTGTTCATAAATAAAAATTCAATTCATAATTTAAAAAAAAAAAAGAATGCAAATTCGGGAAATTTCATAACGAATAGGTAAATATATTAATATCCGTTCCTCATATAATACTTTACCATAATGTTTGTTTGTTTGTTTTTTACTAAATCAAACTTTTATTTCAATATACAACTATGAAGAAGTGTACGACATACCTGATTTTATTTATTTTTTTTGTATCTTTGTTACAATTCTAAATCTTATAAAAAAAAAAAAAAAAAATCACTTTAGTGACCTTTTTCTACCATATTAGATAAAATATTAAGTAAAAAATACCTAATTTTATTTTCTAAACATATTAATTGTTACAATTAAGATAAAAAATAAATTGAAATAATATAAAAACAAAGTCCACGTGAGTAAAAAAATGTATGAGGAAGTATGTGTAAATTTTTGACAAATATAAAATATGATATGCGATTCCAAACGTTTGGGGGCGAGGTTGCCGAGCGGGTTAATTCACAAGTTGATTTCATGCTCTATACCTCTGCTTTATGTTTGCTTGTTATAACTTCTTAATTTGTGAATAAAATTATTAATCAAAATAAAGGAATACGAATAAAACTGTCGTCAAACCGTTTTAATAAATCAATATATTTCACAAACCGCCTTGGCAATCAAGAAATAGCACTCTACCAGTTTAAAGTATACATCATTGTCCCTAAGTATAAACTCAAAAATCATAATGTTCGAGTTATAATATTTCAGTAACAAAAGAGCGATAAAAAACATAATATAAAGTTTATAATACCGTTATATCACTTTTTTTGTACAATGAAAATAAGTGAAATAAAACAGACTATAGTTAGGTATAAAAGTTTTTTGGCAGTTGCAATTTTTTTTTTTTGTTTTAGTAAAAACTGATGAAATATATACGGAAAAGTAATTTTTTTAACAGCCCTTCTAGTAAGAATTCATTCATCAGGATCTGTCATTCATCCATTCATTCATCAGGATTGTATCTTGATAAGTTTTCCTTCACACTGGATCCTTAAATTAATAATAAAACATATGGCTTCATTCATTGAAGAAGTGTGGCCCGAATAATCATGATCAGATTAACCTCTGTAAAATAGGGAACTGGTCCTTCAATAGATTGATGGGAAAACCAGGTGATGGAGCGAGATACCAACCACAACATAACCATGAAAACATCAATTGAACACCAATTACTTAAATCAATGCATAGATTAAATAAATTATTGCTGAAAATTTTATTTTATTTATTTATTTTTAACACTATAAGAGTACACTGAAGTAGGTTTACAATATATGGTATTCAATTTCCATTGAAGTATGAGGTAAAATTAAATGGAACTTCACCATTTATCTTTCAGTGCAAATGAAGTTGTGTGTGATCGAAATTGAAAATGCAGTATAATAATGTAAAGATAATAACGGAACAAATGTAATAGGAACTTGATATTGGAATACCAAAAGAGCTATTTGAAAATGGGTGTTCAAAGATACAATACCGGGCGATATAACCCACATGTTATTCGATTGGCACATGTAGTAAATAATAGCAGTACAATAAATATCCCATGTTAGATATTAATTCTATATTAATTATGCACCATTTAATTATGCCTCTGGCTTTTAAGATCGACCAACATATATCGAATTGCCCATAGCTGATATCAGGACAGTAGCTAATAATTAATATAAAAATGTTGTTGATTTCTCTGAAATATAGTCTGTGATGGAGACCCCTTTTTTGCAGAACAGTTCTATATTTTGTAGGCCACCTTTTTTCTCGATTTAGAGATCAAACTATCTCAAGATTCAAATGGAAAACACATGGATGTTCATGAATTTTTAGTAAGCTACCAAATTGACATGTGTACCGATCTCCAGGCCGAAAACGCCACAATTACGAGAATGTTTGTAGATAAAATATTTGTAGGTTACGATAGAATGAAGTTTTAGGCGGATGTTAATAATTTCATGAAAAGAGGCCTATACCACGGACTAATAATCAAATAATCTCTATCATGAAACCGTTAAAATTGATCGGTTAATTCCTACGATAGTAATATAATTAATAATAAATAATTACCTCATCAGAGAAATTCCGGTAAGCTTCGCTATCTGGAGTACGTGCGGTGACTGTAAGCAGTGCTGTGAATGCTTTCTTGGCCCTCTTGTTTCTCTCCGGGCTATCTCCCTTCACATACCATGGCTTGTGCATGTTGTATTGGCTGGAACAAAATAGATAATAAATTAATAATTGTAATAAATAGATAAATATTTTTATGCAAATACATGTAGGTAAAAAAATACATTGTCATAAAAAAATTAAGATAACTTTCAATTTGATATTATAGAACTTTCATATCCGGACGTTCATTTTTCGAAAGTTTATTATCACTACGATTTATAAATATTTTCATATAGAATACGATATAAACAGAGAAAAACAATTTTAAGAAATTAATTTTCACGAATTTTCAAGGCAAACCTTTCTTACTATATTACGTTTTGATGTAGAGATGGTTGACCGTTGATATAATATGAGAAGGAGTTAATCGGGGGAGGGGGAAGGGGGGTGAGGTCAAATAAATACTAAATTAAACAGATAGTAATTATTTAATTTTTGCCGAAGTTTCGACCCACTTTGCAGATAGTCTTCAGAGCTACAAAAGGCACAAAACATGGTGATAATAAAAAAATGAATATAAGTAGATATAAAATAAGAATAAGTTGTCAGATACAGAAATAATAAGATGATATCAGAGACATAGTGGGTGACAATGTAGTTAAAATATAATATATAATACTTGATATATATAATATATAAATATAAAATATAATACTTGATATTTTAACTACATTGTCACCCACTATGTCTCTGATATTATCCTTTTATTTCTGTATCTGACAACTTCTTCTTATTTTATATCTACTTATATTCGTTTATTTTATTTTCGCCATGTTTTATATCTTTTGTAGTCCTGAAGACGACTTGCAAAGTGGGTCGAAACGTCGGAAAAAATTAAATAATTACTATCTGTTTAATTCAATATTTATTTGACCGCACCCTCCCCCTCTCCCCCCCCCCCCCACGATTAACTCATATATTTCGTTTTATTGTTTTTCAAATTACCAACGGCCTCAAAATGATTTCATCATAGAACTAAATATTTGTAATAAATAAACTTAATTATTGAAAACTGATACTGAATCAATTTTATTTAATAAAAAATAAATGAATTAAAATAACTAGAAACCTTATTTATTTAAATATATGCCGTATCTTCAAGAATTTAAAATTAGATTCACGCTGTTTCACTGTTGATAACTCCAAGATGATATTATTTTTCAATATAATATCTGAGAAAAAATAATTTAATATGAAATCTATAACAATGTAAGAAAATTAGAGAGGACTGATTTATGTGATTTTAGAAGCTCAAGAACATCTCTATAACGTCCAAATATATCGAGATAAGATGTATTGTGTTTTAAAGGCCAATACATATAGGCCAATAATTTTATAGGCCGGCACAGTTCCAAAAAAACTTTAAGGCTCTGCGTCTTACGGCTCAAAACGTCCTTTATTTTTTAGATGAATCGCAGTTCTTCCCTAATCTAATGTCTCTCAGATCCTACGGTTCCATGAGATACTTATTCCGTAATGGATTTGTAAATTAAAATATTGCTTTCTATGTCAGTAATCGAACATACTCCATGATCCCTTGGACATCAAACTATCAAAAATAGAAAAAAAAAACTTTTTGATATATTTAATAAATAAAATATATATTCAGGTGTGGCTCCTATACTCTCAGTAATAGACTTCTATGTATAATATAATGCGTGAAATTATTATCATTTGATACATTAAAGAGAAAGAGAAGTCAGTAGAAAAACTAGGAGAAAGTTTGTCAGCCACGCGTTAGACCTATATACACAATTTAAACAAAGCCCCTCTTTTTCTTTTTTTTTTTTTTTTTCATAGCAAAGAAGAAAAACAAATTAAATTAAAACAGTCTCTGGCCACTTTGTTTTCGGTCACAAAAAGCACAGGATGAATGATGAGGGTTGAATTGTAAAACCACCAAGCTGCTGTTTACGTTCACACGCTATCATTTCCATCACTGCTCTCTCTTCAAATCGACTCTCATATTTACAAGTATTAGCTAAACAGTTTTTTGGGTTATATATCTAGGATACTAGACAAATGGATAAGTCAAGTAATAGAAAAATGATTTCAACATTAACGTTTAAGGTTAATGAATCAAACATATTCGGTTTATTGCAAAATTCATTAAGTAACATTTTAATAAATTTGAGCTAATCGAATTTGTGATTAGCTGTTCTCATTCATTAAAAAAGAGAGAGAGAATCACTTTATTATCATAAAATAAAATAAAATGGTGCTGCCCAATTACATTGGGTTGCTAACAACACAGCATACTTATTAATCACTGAAGACATTATTTAAAATTATTATACAATTATAGGATTAACAATATGTATGAGCATAGTATACAATATTTTATACGTATATATATATATATATTATTTTTTTTTTTACTTTTTTTTTTTTAATTTTTACTATTTCTTTCATTCATTTATTATCATTCTGTACCCTTTCTCTTCCTTCTCTCCCCCTATACATGTTCCCACTCACACTCTCTCCTCTCTCTTTCTAACCTAATACATAAAAAATTCATAAAGTACAGTGGACGTGTTCAATAAATAATAATATACGAATGCCTCCCCTCCCCCCCGCGAGCAAACTCTCCCCCTATCCGCTCCCATGCACATGGTGGTGGATGATTCCCAGGGAGTCGAGGATTATACTCTCTGCCAACCTTGCCACGTCCTTTATGTCGACACCAAGGCCCTCCATGAAGCTCCTTGTTGAGTCTGGTATCGTTCCGCGAGCTCCGAACCAAAGGCCTCTCACGTGGAACTCTCTCGGCCCGAAACTCTCGCGGAACTTTTCACTAAGGAAAGGGATGCATTTCTCATATATTTGTTTTTTCTCCCTTTCCACTTTTTCTGCCTGATCGAGGTCGTTGGCTTCATATCTCACGGTCGGATCCAAAATCATCGCCGACTTTCCCGTCTTAGGGAATGCTACAATGTCGGCATATCGGGTGGATCCATCCATATCTATACAATATACTTCCTCGAAACAGGCGTATTCTCTCTCTTCAAGGAGCCTCATCAGTTCATGCTTGACTCTGTGGTGACGGCGTGTTATAAGGAGGGAGTTGTTGGGGCATTTTCCAAGCACATGTGCTGGTGTTTCTGGCTCTCTGTCGCATTTGCGACAGAGGGACCCAACTTCTCTTACCTGTCCGCTGACACCTGGGACTCCACGCAGGGGAGCATAATTAATATTTAGTTTCAGGGCATTTGACCATTCAGACCCAGAAAGTACTTGCTTATCATACATGTATTTATTGGCTTTCGGGGTCTCTTTAAAATGGCGAACTCCAATGCCCTGCCACCTGCAATTGGTCCATTCCTCAAACGAATTTTCTCGAAGCGACTGCCGTAGAGCTCTCATATTCCGAATACCCCGATCAACACCCAATCTCTCGGCAAATTCATCAACCTCAGCCGAATAATCAAAGATCGACTGAAAAAGGGCATCGGGCACATTGGACAGTCGCTGAGCAATGGACCAATGTTGTAGAGGAGCCTCCCATTGGCAGCGGATTAATCCTAATCCTCGATACCTCCTGGGAGAGTACAACATCGCCGTGGAGGTGTTCACAGGGAGTCCAACAATAGCCTTCACACTCCTGCGAATCATGGTGTCGATGCCGTCAAGTACGGCAGGACGCAGCTTTGTGAGGGGCGCAGTTTGGAGAGGGTAAGTAAGACCCGGGAACAGATATTGGTTGACAATGTTTAGCTTCTGCTCCGGCTTCAGCAAGGGAGAGGTTACCAGTTTATTCAGGTTTTCGTTCAATTTGGTCACCGAATCTTCGTTGAACTGTAGCTCTCCCGAGAATGTACATCCTAAATACTTGATTGTATCTCCATTCTGCATTGTTTGGATGTACTCTCCGTTCTCAAGGGAGAGCATCGCGGTTTCCAGCTCTCCTTTATTTAGAACGATGCCCACGCTTTTTTGAGGATTAATAGCCAAACCAATTCCCTCAAATGTCCTCTGAACGCTGCCGATCACTCTTTCTGCAGCCCCCTTGTCACGCGCTGACACGGCCTGGTCATCCGCGAAACCTGTGAGGACCACACAACCTTGGTCACTTTTTAACTTGTATCCAAATTTTTTGGAAAATTCTTTATCGCACAGGTCGCATAACAATTCGGTTATTTATTTTTTGTTATTTGGAATTTTGCATATGTATTATATTTTCGACTATTGACTAAAATACATAACATGTACGTACATAACAATGAGAAAAAAAATGGAAACACGACGCAAACAGTGATTTTTTGCACACTATTATAGTTAAACACTGATTTATTTTTGTAGCATGGCAAGTACATGAATTGTGAGTTAGACTTATCCCACTTAGTTTCATTAACTTTCGGATCAATTGATCCAGTTTAAGAAGTGATTAAGTATGACTTTTTGCTCTGTATATCCAAAACATCGTGCACTTAAGGCCAGTTGCTCCAACTCAGTAAAGCTTAGATTAAGAATTACCAAAGATTAAAACAAGTTTAATCTTCATCGGTCGAGCTTAGAAAGCTTGGTTTAATCTTATATAACGCTTAATCAAAGCTGTACTGAGATGGAGCAACTGAGCCTAAGTGAAAATATTTTTTACGTATTGTATCGATCAATAAAATCGAAATTAACTACTCCCCATCAGGTAAAAATCGACCAAAAGAGTACTTAATGACTTTACGATATGCATCTTAAAAATAATAATTTTCTTTTAATAAAGAATTAATATAAATGTTTTAAATGGAATTCGGTAATAATTAAAAACTGAATTGTTGAACAATCAAGTTTAAAATAAAATTATTCGAAATGATGAAGATAATTTTGACCATTGAAAAAATATTACAATTTGATTGTGGGCCACTGTCCTATCCCTAAGAAAGTCATTAAGACGGAAATGTAATAGAGTTTTCCTAAGTTGTTTTATCTACGACAAAGCACCATCCAATGAACTTTTAGTATAAAATTGTATTGTTTTTAATCAAGATATGTACAAAATAGAAATTGATTACCATCAGGGCAGAAAGGAAAACAAAACACAATATT